ATGATCCCTGATTCAACAGCATTAATTGATGAGACCAAACAGTTCTCGTTGAAACCCTCTGCTGCCAGACCACCAAGATTATATGGCCTTCCAAAGATACACAAAGAAGATACACCCCTTCGTCCCATCGTCTCTACAATCAACTCCCCCACCTATAAACTGGCACGTTTTCTTGCTGATATACTGCGACCTTTCACTGGAAAAAACACCTCTGCGGTACTAAATTCTACTCACCTGGTATCGACAATCAAAGGCATTTCCCTGTCCCCAGACGACCTGTTTGTCAGTTTTGATGTGTTGTCCTTGTTCACCAAAGTCCCAGTACCTGACACCATTGCTATCATTGAAGACCTGGTTCATCAAGAACTGCACACTGATGTACCCCCCCTGGTGAGACATTGCTTAACCAACACATACTTCACCTGGAATGGACCTTTCTAAAAACAAACTGAGGGCACCCCAATGGGCTCCCCCCTAGCTCACGTGGTAGCCAACGTATTCATGGAAAAATTTGAAACTGACGCCATCTAGACTACCACTCTACGCCCGACATTATGGAAGAAGTACGTCGATGACACCTTTGTCATCTGGCCACATGGCCAGCCTGCTCTAGACCAATTCCGCGACCACATCAATTCCATACACCCAGCCATCAGATTTACCATGGAGATCGAAAAAGATGGCAAACTACCCTTTTTGGATGTCTTAATTAAAAGGAGACATGATGGTTCAATGAGCCACTCTGTCTACAGGAAAGCTACCCATACAGATGCTTACTTGAAATCGGATTCCTACCACTACCTATCCCAGAAGAACTCCCTCATCAAGACTCTATACCATAGAGCCCAATGCATATCCGACCAGGAACACATTACCAGTGAACTCAAGCACGTACACCAGGCTCTCAGGGCTAATGGTTACTCTGACTACACAATCCGCAAAGCCATCACTCCAGTCGTGAAGAAGGATCCTCTTGTGGAACCACTCAAAACCATCACCTTACCCTACATTGCAGGGGTCACTAAAAAGATCTCCAAAATCCTGAATAAACACAAGATCCAGGTCCGATTCAACACAGTACATAAAATCCGTGATCTAGTTCCATCTGTAAAAGATGCTGTTCCAGACATACAGTACCCGGGCGTTTACAAACTAAAGTGCCTCTGTGGTAGTAGCTACATTGGAGAAACCAAACGACATATCACGGATCCGCATCCTGCGAACATAAAGCAGACTTGAAACACGGTAGAACGAACTCCTCTGCCGTGGCAGATCACTGTTATAATTCAGTGGGCTCACATGACATTGACTTCTCGAAGACGGAGGTTCTTTACAAACCAACCGGCTACCATGAGATTCGTTCATGAGGCCATTCACATATACAAGCACAGAGACAATTTCAACCGAGAAGATGGATTCTGGCTTAGTAACCATCGGAAAGATGTTTTAAACCATTTCCGTTCTTAATTAATTGTATTTTACGATGACCTTCAGACCGCAGCTCTTTCGCTGGCATTGACTCTTCATACCTCTCACACCATGGTTAAAGGTATGGTTTACAACATGGACTATAACAGCGCCTCGCAGCTGTCTCTCTCCCCCTCCTCTGTTCCGACCATGGATGAACTCGTCCGTCTGAACGGGACCCGTAGCTATCCGTATTGCTAAAGTTGAGGGTAAGAATCCACCCATTTTTCGCCATATAGCATTGTGATATATAACGACTTATTGTTGGTAGCTTAGCTGATTGGAGAATATAGAGTTTATTGATAACATTGAGGTAATTTATATTTTAGTATTTTGTATTGGTTCACTATATAGTATTCATTATATATTGTATTGTATACCCAGTTACTTTGAATAGCTCAGATGTGTAGGCCGTGACTTCAACATAGCCATTTCTGTGACCAGTCACAAGCTGATCACTCAGTTATTTCAATGCTAAATTCGCCTAGTTATTTCAATGCTAAATTCTCCTGTTTGATTTGTACTAGGTGCCTCGGTGAATGTGTGTGCTCTGACTTTAACATAGCTATTTCTGTGTCCAGTTACAAGCTAATCACTCAGCTATTTCAATGGTAAATTCTATGCTAATTCCTTTGTCAAGGAGTGCCTCTGCGGATGTGTATACTTTAACTTAGCTATTTCAATGCTAAATTCTATGCTAATTCCTTTGTCAAGGGGTGCCTTTGCGGATGTGTATGCTTTAACTTTAACATAGCCTTTTCTGTGACCAGTCACGAGCTAATCACTTAGCCATTTCAATGCTAAATTATATGCTGATTCCTTTGTCAAGGCGCTTTGTTTCTTCACACAGCTTAAAGGTCGTGATCTCAGCGTGGCTTTCTCACTCCAGCGCTGTCCTCCAGACAGTCTCGTCCACTGCACCTGATGAAGGTCGCTTGTGTTGTGGCCGAAACGTCGTGAGAATATTATTGTGTTATTTTATTTTATCAATTTATTATTTTATTCTCATTCTACGTGACTTTACCGAAAGAACCAAAAAAGATGAATCCTTGCAGTCACGAAAGCTTTAAGTCGAAATTTAACCATTTTAAACCCTCCAAATAAAAACACATTCTTCAAATCGCTTTAAACTATTGTCATTGTAGTGCGTATTTAATGTGGCGCTACACTCTGATGTATGAGAAAATATTTAAAAGTCTATTTAATTAAATAGAACGTTTTGATTTAAAGCTTTCGTGACTGCAGTTATTCATATCCTTAGTTTTTTCGGTAAAGTCACGTTGAAGGGAAACAACAAAATAATAAAATATATATAAAACAATAAAAAAATTCTCACGACGTTCCGACCATAACTCAAACGGTCGTCTTTAGGTGTGTTTTTCAATTTTTTATTGTTTTATATATATTTTATTATTTTGTTGTTTCCCTTCAACGTGACTTTACCGAAAAAACTAAGGATATAAATAGAACGTGTTTATATTTAAAGTTGCGGATTTTGATGTGACGTCACCCCCCTCCCCCCTCGTCACACATCGTCACAAATGTCTGACCGTCACAGTTTGAACACACTGTATACACAGTTTGTACAAACACACACTTATACACAGTTTGTACACACACTTATACACAGTTTGTACACACACACACTTATACACAGTTTGTACACACACACACTGTATACACAGGTTGTACACACACACTTATACACAGTTTGAACACACACTTATACACAGTTTGTACACACACACTTATACACAGTTTGTACACACACTTATACACAGTTTGTACACACACACTGTATACACAGTTTGTACACACACTTATACACAGTTTGTACACACACACTTATACACAGTTTGTACACACACACTTATACACAGTTTGTACACACACACACTGTATAGACAGGTTGTACACACACACTTATACACAGTTTGTACACACACTTATACACAGTTTGTACACACACACTTATACACAGTTTGTACACACACACTTAAACACAGTTTGTACACACACACTGTATACACAGGTTGTACACACACACTTATACACAGTTTGAACACACACTTATACACAGTTTGTACACACACACGTATACACAGTTTGTACACACACTTATACACAGTTTGTACACACACACAGTATACACAGGTTGTACACACACACTTATACACAGTTTGAACACACACTTATACACAGTTTGTACACACACACTTATACACAGTTTGTACACACACACTTATACACAGTTTGTACACACACACACTGTATACACAGGTTGTACACACGCACTTATACACAGTTTGTACACACACTTATACAAAGTTTGTACACACACACTTATACACAGTTTGTACACACACACTTATACACAGTTTGTACACACACACTTATACACAGTTTGTACACACACACGTATACGCAGTTTGTCCACACACACTTATACACGGTTTGTACACACACTTATACACGGTTTGTACACACACACACTTATACACAGTTTGTACACACTTATACACAATTTGTACACACACACTTATACACAGGTTGTACACACACACGTATACACAGTTTGTACACACACTGTATACACAGTTTGTACACACACTTATACACAGTTTGTACACACACACTTATACACAGTTTGTACACACACTGTATACACAGTTTGTACACACACACTTATACACAGTTTGTACACATTCTATACAGTTTGTTCACACACACATATACACAGGTTGTACACACACACGTATACACAGTTTGTACACACACACTCATACACAGTTTGTACACACACACTTATACAGAGTTTGTACACACACTTATACACAGTTTGTACACACCCACTTATACACAGTTTGTACACACACTTATACACAGTTTGTACACACACACTTATACACAGTTTGTACACACACAATTATACACAGTTTGTACACATTGTATACACAGTTTGTTCACACACACATATTCATAGGTTGTACACACACTTATACACAGTTTGTACACACACACTTATACACAGTTTGTACACACACATATACAAAGTTTGTACACACACACTTATACACAGTTTGTACACACACTTATACACAGTTTGTACACACACGTATACGCAGTGTGTACACACACACTTATACACAGTTTGTACACACACACTGTATACACAGTTTGTACACACACACTTATGCACAGTTTGTACACACACACTTATGCACAGTTTGTACACACACACTTATACACAGTTTGTACACACACACTTATACACAGTTTCTACACACACACTTATACACAGTTTGTACACACATACTTATACACAGTTTGTACACACACACTTATACACAGTTTGTACACACACACTGTACACACAATGTTCACGTTGTTGAGCTCACGCACACCAAAGGGTCAATGTTCAATAGAGGGATCAATGGAATAGGAATCTTAATAAACTTGAACTCTAACCCCGCTCTCTGACGTCACCGCTGCAATACCTCATCGGCGTGAGGGGGGAGGTGTGTGTACCCCGCTAGTGACGTCATGTCACCTGCTGCCGCGTGACGTCACGAGACACCAGGAAGCTGCTGTACTCTACGCGCGCGCTCACTGTGAGCCGAGGTGAGAAGTTCACATCGTGGTTGTTGTTGCTGTTGTGTTGGTGGTGGTGGTTGTTGTTGTCGTGTTGGTGGTGGTGGTTGTTGTTGTTGTTTACCCAGGTACAGCCTCGCTCCTCTCTCTCTCTCTCGTAGGGATGTCAATTGAGTAGCAGCGAGTAATGGAATCGACGTCCAGGTCGGAACATTACAACGCGGGGCCTAGCCATGCGGGGCCTCGCCTCCTGCCCCTCGCCTGATTGCGTTTGCTTTAATTCTCTGCTTCGACTCACACACACATTGACTTTAGATACACACAGACATTGACTTACACACACATTGACTCACACACACACATTGACTCACACACACACATTGACTCACACACACACATTGACTCACACACACACATTGACTCACACACACACATTGACTTACACACACACATCGACTCACTCACACACAGTGACTTACACACACATTGACTTCACACGCACATTGACTTCACACGCACATTGACTTACACACAGACATCTGGCGTTGCCTGTGCAAAAAATACACAGACATACATAGACTTACAAACACATGGACTCAAACACACAAAGATCCCCCGTATAGCCTTAACAGACTGTAGGGGCAAGTGCTGTTAGCGAGCACCTATGAAGACCGGAACGGTACACGAGGGGGTGGGTGGCCAGCACCACGCCCGACCGCCTTTGTCTCCCTAGTGGCGATGTTTACTACACACCGCACCAGGTACTCATTTGAGGCTGAGTCGACCTAGGGGAGGTCCGGGACCGGTTCAGATAATCGTCACCGGTGTTGGTGGCCGTGAGCGGGAATCGAACCCGGGTCGCCAGGTTCATAGCGCAGCGTAGCGCTAACCACTACAATATCGCTCCCCACACACCCATGGACTGACACACACACATCGACTTACACACATCGACTTACACACACATCCACTTACACATCGACTTACACACACATCCACTTACACACACATCGACTTACACACACATCGACTTACACATCGACTTACACACACATCGACTTACACACACATCCACTTACACACACATCGACTTACACACACATCGACTTACACACACATCGACTTACACACATCGACTTACACACACATCGACTTACACACACATCGACTGACACACACATCCACTTACACACACATCGACTTACACACACATCGACTTACACACACATCGACTTGCACACACATCGACTTACACACACATCGACTTACACACACATCCACTTACACACACATCCACTTACACACACATCGACTTACACACACATCCACTTACACACACCGACTTACACACACATCCACTTACACACACATCCACTTACACACACATCGACTTACACACACATCGACTTACACACATCGACTTACACATCGACTTACACACACATCGACTTACACACATCCACTTACACATCGACTTACACACACACATCGACTTACACACACATCGACTTACACACACATCGACTTACACACACACATCGACTTACACACACACATCGACTTACACACACACATCGACTTACACACACATCGACTGACACACACATCGACTTACACACACATCCACTTACACACACATCGACTTACACACACATCGACTTACACACACATCCACTTACACACACAAAGACTTACACAGCAATCCCCGATGATGCCACAGCTAGAGCAATTGTCTCTCTCTCTGGCGAGCCTTAGCGAGGAGCAGTTTGACAACAAAAGTCTTCCCAGTACTGGCAGGTGCGTCAAGGGGGGAAACAAAAAGACTCAATTTGTAGTCTCAATGTCTTCCAAGATGTTCGTGTGGGCTTGACTTTGTGCACGCGTGAGCCTTGGTTAATTTCCGTGAGTAAATATACGAAGCCGTTGAAGCACAATGGCGTATTTAACGTAGGGCCTTCTTGAGCAAGGGCATGCAGGTTGTCCGTGTAGGGCGTTGGTAGTCCCATAGACGCGAGGTATTTAGCATCAATGCAGTGCAGTTTGTCCTGAAGGAGGATGAGGGCCTGTTTGAAGATCACATCAGAGAAGTTGACGTCGAGGTTTGTATTTTGTCGTTGAGCTCCGTGGAGGATGTCCTTACTCATGAACCTTAATTAGCGAGTTAGTGGCAGGTCTGAGCGTTGTTTGAAATCCACCATGCTCAGTATTTCTGTGAAGATATAGAGGATAGCCATCATGGGCCAACTTGAGCGTCTTTCAAGTAGTTGCATGGATATCTCTTGGTACAGCTGTGGTCTTGCATACATGGCGCATTTGGATAGAACTGGCCACATGGGCCATGGACCATTTGGTTGCAGACCTCAACAAAAGTTCAGGGTCTTGATGAAGGTAAGGAAGCTCAGTACTGATAAATGTGTCAATGTGAATTGCATGAATTGTTTCCCTCATCCATTGGGAAATGTGAGCATGAGGAAGAGGACGTTTTTGCCACCCAATGGTGTGCAAGGTACTGCTTGTCTATCCAAAGACGCCGCCTTCGTTGGTCGTAATAAGCATCAAGAGGCAATAAACTTTGAGTTTGAAGACCCTCGCTAAGATGTCATGTCTGTCTGGTGGCTTTTGGTTTGGATAAAGCTGAAGCTGGATCTCCTTTCATTCGGGATTGCAAGTGAAGGTGATGTAGAAATGGGACGTGGCATATTGGCTGATGTACGTCATGGCATCCTGAGTCTTCTCATGCATGTATTTTGGTGGAGCTGTGAAGGATGAAGGCAAAGCAACTAATCTGCCCATATTGTGAGCGTTTGTATCTCCTTCGGCATTGATGGCGTCCCAGAGATGAGCATACTGTTCACACGCAGTCGGTTTTGATTCAGTTGAATGTAAAGAATCCGCTCACTCTCAATGTTGGCATACTAATCCACAACAGACTGGTGAAAGAGGTTGGCCCACCATCACATGCGGTTTCCTCCTCTGTCCATGATCACGAAGGCATCGAAGTATTTTTAGAGTAGACAGTTTTGAGAGGATGTCTTTGTCCTGCAGCTTTGTAATTGGAGGAATGTTGACGTGGTAGGCATCTTGGCTTTGCGACAGGAAAATGTGTTATTGTAGGGCATCGCATGCTCTGTTATTGTCAGGAAATCGTGCGATGGTGTTTTCTTGGTATGGAGGAACAATGTCCCTCCGGCAATGTTCCTCACCCACCGTAATAAAGCAAGGTCAACAATATTTGGGGCATTGAACCTCCCTGCGTTCTCCCCGCTTTAGTGAAAAGTAAAGGTGCGGTATGGCGAAATAGAAATGGATGATGTTCCCACCAATGTAACAAAACGATAGACGAAATGCAATGGGCTGTAGCTAAGAACGTCCAATGTATTTAGCAGTATAACATTTTGATCAGCATCGCAGTACTACGTATGAGTAAATAGCGTGAGGTGAGCAATCGAAACAATAGAAATGCATTGAAGAATTAAGCTGTAGTAAGTGTAAATGAAAGAGCATCAGTACGCACAGGTAAGTTGAGAAGCAGGATACAGTCTAGATTATAGACTGCCAGTACGCCGACTCAATGACATAAGCACAGCTACAGTCGACATAAAAAGCTGGCAATACAGGCAGCAGCTGAAAAAGCAGAAAACAGTCGACATGAAAGGCTGTGGCAGTACGCTGAGTGAGGTAAAGAAGCAGGCAACAGATTATAGACTGGCATACGCTCAATGGTCAAAAGGAAAATTATCAGTGTAGATGATAGAGTGCCAGTGCACTGACGTTAATGAATCAACAGGCAGCAGGCCACATCACAGACTGGCAGTAGAGCATCGCAGCGTCCATAACATGTCGTTTTGTTTCCCCAATGTAACTGCTGCCGCAGGCCACAACTCAGTTTGTAGACACCAGGGTATTGCATGTCAGTAATCGCATCCTTTACAGATGGGATCAAATCACGGATTTTATGTACTGTGTTGAAACGAACCTAGATCTTGTGTTTCTTTAAGATTTTGGAAATATTTTTGGTAACCCCTGCTATGTATGGCAAAGTGAGGGTTTCGGTTGGATCCTCAGATGGTTGTCTCCACATTGCTGGGGAGACAGCTTTGCGGATTGTACGGTCAGAATATCTGTTCATCGTGAGGGCTTGGCACTGCCTTACCAACACTTACTTCACCTGGAATGGTACATTCTACAAACAAAATGAGGGTACCCCAATGGGTTCTCCCTTATCGCCAGTGGTAGCGAATGTTTTCATGGAGAAATTTGAGACAGATGCCATCCAGACATCCACCCTAAGTCCTTCTTTGTGGAAGAGATGCGTAGATGACACGTTCGTCATCTGGCCACATGGCCTGCCAGCACTGAACCAATTTCTCAACCACATCAATTCCATCTTGATTTGAAGCTTTCGTGACTGCAGGAAATCCATACTCTTTGGTTCTTTCGGTAAAGTAACGTTGGTAGAAATAAGAAAATAAAACATCACGACGTTTCGAATGCAACACGAGCGATCTTCATCAGGTGGGACAACCACGGCAAGAAAATGCTGAAGTCGGCAGGAGAGCTGCCGTGGCAAGAGGTTATATAGGTAAGAGAGGGGGGAAGGAGGCCTAGCCAGTGAGCTGGAGCACGTACACCAAGCCAACAGGATGAACGGATATTCTGACCGTACAATCCGCAAAGAGGGTTCATCATTGGGTCTTTCCCCCTTTTTTCAAAGAAGCTCTCCAACAACGTTTTTTTTTTTACTCATTGTGGCTAGGGGTTAGCTTGTGGGCTTACCAAAACTGTGACTGAGACAAGTGCGGAAAAGTGGCGTGGACGGAAGTGGTAAATAAAACAATGGGCGTGCTACGCGCGTACTCGCCGCGCTCACCTCCTGCTGTGCTGCCCGGTTCCTAACAGACCACGGACCGGTACCGTTCTGCGGCCCGGGGGTTGGAGACCCCCCTGGGTTAGATCGTCTAAATATATGAAGGTTTCGATTTAAAGCTTTCGTGACTGCAAGGATTCATCTTCTTTGGTTCTTTCGGTAA